GGCGGGCGGGCCGCGGGCGGAAGCGGGCCGGGCGCAGCGGGGGCGGCCGCCGGGCGCGGGCGATGGAAACGCACATCTCGTGCCTGTTCCCGGAGCTGCTCGCCATGATCTTCGGCTACCTGGAGGTGCGCGACAAGGGCCGCGCGGCGCAGGTGTGCACGGCCTGGCGCGACGCCGCCTACCACCGCTCCGTGTGGCGCGGCGTGGAGGCCAAGCTGCACCTGCGCCGCGCCAACCCCTCGCTCTTCCCCAGCCTGGCGGCGCGGGGCATCCGGCGCGTGCAGATCCTGTCGCTGCGGCGCAGCCTGAGCTACGTGATCCAGGGCATGGCGGACATCGAGAGCCTCAACCTGAGCGGCTGCTACAACCTCACGGACAACGGGCTGGGCCACGCCTTCGTGGCCGAGATCGGCTCCCTGCGCTCGCTCAACCTCAGCCTCTGCAAGCAGATCACGGACAGCAGCCTGGGCCGCATCGCCCAGTACCTCAAGGGCCTCGAGGTGCTCGAGCTGGGCGGCTGCAGCAACATCACCAACACGGGCCTCCTGCTCATCGCGTGGGGGCTGCAGCGCCTCAAGAGCCTCAACCTGCGCTCCTGCCGGCACCTCTCGGACGTGGGCATCGGGCACCTGGCGGGCATGACGCGCAGCGCGGCCGAGGGCTGCCTGGGCCTCGAGCAGCTCACGCTGCAGGACTGCCAGAAGCTCAGCGACCTCTCGCTGAAGCACCTGGCGCGCGGGCTGGGCCGCCTGCGCCAGCTCAACCTCAGCTTCTGCGGGGGCATCTCGGACGCGGGGCTGCTGCACCTGTCGCACATGAGCAGCCTGCGCAGCCTCAACCTGCGCTCCTGCGACAACATCAGCGACACGGGCATCATGCACCTGGCCATGGGCAGCCTGCGCCTCTCCGGCCTCGACGTCTCCTTCTGCGACAAGGTGGGCGACCAGAGYCTCGCGTACATCGCGCAGGGCCTGGACGGGCTGCGCTCCCTCTCGCTCTGCTCCTGCCACATCAGCGACGAGGGCATCAACCGCATGGTGCGGCAGATGCACGGCCTGCGCACGCTCAACATCGGCCAGTGCGTCCGCATCACCGACAAGGGCCTGGAGCTCATCGCCGAGCACCTCAGCCAGCTCACGGGCATYGACCTCTACGGCTGCACCCGCATCACCAAGCGCGGCTTGGAGCGCATCACCCAGCTGCCCTGCCTCAAGGTGCTCAACCTGGGACTCTGGGAAATGACTGAGAGCGAGAAGGTCAGGTGAGAGGAGGGGGGCACCCCGAGACCTCCATCTCCTCTGGAGGGACTCATGGACCCACTTACTGACTGACTGCTGCAATGGAGAGGAGAGATGGAGAGAGAGGAGAGAGAGAGGGGGGCACGCGCACAGCCATGCTACCCACGCACCCTGGCACTGGAGGGAGGAATATATATATAGAGAGAGAGTATATCCTTGACCCTTCTGTGCTGCCTAGCCACCCTTGTTCTGGAGGAGGAGGAGGAGAAAGAGAGAGAAAGAGAGAAAGCACCTACCCTTTCCAGGTCGTGCCTCCAGCTCCACACTTGGGAGCCAGCGCTCCCCCTCCCCCACAGCATCCTTCTCCACGGAAGAGGCAGAAGGCCACACTCTTATGCACTGGGGCTAGAGAGACCCCTCTTTATCCCCACTCCATCCCCTCATGCACTAAGGATGGATAAAGACAGACCCCTGATTCTGCCATGTATCAAAAATAGATTATTTTTCTGCTTATATATTGGRAAAAAAAAGAGTGGGAATGGAGATGGGGAACAAACAATAAGAGCAGCAGAAGCAGCTTCCTAGCAACATTTCCATAGCCAGCCACCCAGTCCCCCTTGCACCCTGGGCACAGACAGGGCTCTTGGTAAAAACCATTCCACCTCTGTGCCTGCCCTTCCCCCGCCAACGGGGACTTGTGACAGAAATACTGCTCCCTAGGTACATTGATTTTTTTTTTTTTAAGTGTGTTTTCAATCTCCAGTTCCGTGCTCTTCTCTGCTGTGGGTGGATACCACCTCCCACTCTTGCAGTTCTCCCCTGCCCTGAGACTAGGGATAGCTGCAACCTCTCCTTTTGTATGTTTCCGTGTCACGCTGCACTATGGCTACAGAGCAAGCCCAGGCACTCAGCTCTTTCTCGCCATCTCTCCGCCCTGGAGAGCRAGATTTCCATTTGCTCCCTCTCCCGTCCCTGTAGGGACTGGACACGGATCCGGCTCTCTTAAACCTCCCCCCCGTACCGGGGGATACCGAGAGTTACCGAGAGATGCGTCTGCCCTTTCATCATTCTCTCTTTTTCTCCCCTCCTTCTCTTTCTTGGCAATGAGGATAAAGACATATCCAGCTACATATCCATTCCTCTTTGGATTGGGGGCGAGTGGGTGGAAGGGGTGAGTAGCTCCCCTCTACCCCTGGGACTTGAGGAAGAATCTCCAGCTTCATTTCTGCTTCTTTTGAGATACTGTGACCTGTTTTTATTTTGAAATGCATAAAAAAAATTACTGCTACAAAAACAGCCTCTTAACTCTCCCACCTATCCCTTGCTTATGTCTTATAACTGACCCCAGTTTTCCTCATCCATTCTCCTCTTTACAGTATTCATTTTTTCTTACATGGTTTTATTTTTAAAGACATTTGAAGTTGCTGTTCTTGTGGATTTTTAAGTACATTTTTTTTCTGCTGAATATATTCTATATATATAAATATATATATGATGTCTGGCTACCTCGTTTTATTTTGTTACCTTTTTTTTTTTTTTTTT